ATAGCAAATAATTTGGTAGATGGTGAATTTTCGTGCACTCGGTAATGCGATGGCATGTAGATGGTAGATAGTGGAGTTGTATTAACGTGGAATACAATGCATGTGTACGAAGGCAAGTATATAAGTGTATGGTGCAAAAGTAAAAATCTTCTATGGAAAAATAATACCGTCACCTTTCCCTCTCCCCTTAGTCGCACTTTTGTAAGATGCCTCTCACGTAATACGTAGGTATACTTTTCTCTTCATCTTGGGTCTTTTTTGTTCACGAAGAGAACGTATATTTCTGTTCTATTACCATCCTGATCACGTGTACCGAGTACTTTGACCGAAATGGAATGAATGACCTCAAATTAGAAAAGAATCATGTAAATATACACACGTACAAATGAATTTATGAATACTTAAAAATTTTAACAATAGAGAATCTCAGGGCAATAACAGTACCGATCCGTTGAATGATCTCTTGACATAGTGATTACCGATTCACGATAACACGCACTCAATCAAAAGCCATTATGCAATCAATGTCTGATCAATCAACTATTTCTGATCAATACAATTTGGCCCAGACGTAGTGGAAAAACCATGTTCCATTATAGATGCACACAAAAAGGACGAGAGAGCAATCCTTCGTGGTGTGTATTATGGTGGAGGTATAGTCGTATACAGATAGTCACATATATAGGAGCGTAGGAGAGCGTAAGCCAATTATTTAGTACATACGCACGAGCGCGTCTTTCGTCCTTTCACTAATCTCTCGCGCTTTTCTATCTCCTTCTACTCCCACTTGATTTTTGCTGATGCTTTATAATGTCTATATAATATGTATTAAAATAAAAGTTATATTCCGTGATGCATCTCCCCCTTTTTACGTGAGTGGATCTTCCCCGTCCCCCCGTCTCTTCGGTGTATGCTAGTCTCATGGTTGCAAGAATACATGTCAGAGTTTATCAGAGCAGTTGATTAAACTATGATTTGGACTTCTATTACGTGGGATTTGATGTGTGCTTTGTACAAACATATACACGTGTTGGTATATGTACAAAAAAAATTTATAACGGAAGAATGCAAAACCTGTCCAATAACGTGACAAACATCTAAAATGTCTTAGAGATACTCTTTCACACCCAAACGTTTGATGTCCAAAATATTCGTCAAATATACCAAACAAAATTTCCTCATCAATTTTGTCACGTACATTTTTCTTACTGCGTCTCATCAGGCGTATAACGTGTCGTCCATCGTCTTAATTGTCCCTCTATCTCTGATTCTCATGTGTTAGTGTCTCAATTCATACGGACAAAGCTCTTTCTCCTCTTTTTGTCAATTTCTTTGTTAACTGACCGTGTTGTTGTAGAGATACATACAATGCGCATCTTGACTTTTAAAAACAATGATTTTTATCTTACTAATATATAAAGCAGAAGCGCTAAAACCGTTGTAATCGCTAACCGCGAAAACTACTGAACAGATTTTGTTGAAATTTTGCACACTGATTCATGATACTTCCTAGATGGTTTTAGCATAGTTTTTATCTTAAAAAATTTAATAACAATAACAATAAATGAGCTCAAAGTTTTGCAAAAATATGCCAGCTTTTCACTTTAGTTCAGTAAAATCCGGTAGGTGGCGTCGACATAAAATCGGTGCTACCTGCAACATAATTAAATAAGTGTGGTTATAATAGGCTCGAGCCTCTCGATGGTGTTGTAGTCGAGTTTCGGCAACTCGACGAGATGTATAGAGAATGCTGACGATAGTCTTGCAGCTGGTTATCCCGGTTACGGACGACTCTCTTCTCTAAGGGGGAAGGGACCTAAGAGTCTCTTCACCCTGAATCTCGGCGAGTGCGATAAAAAAAAAAAAAAATTAATTCCAACCGATGCCGTCTCTGCCAGAATATCAGGAGACATATCTAGCCAGAGCACAATCTGCACCAACTTTTCAGAGTTGTGTGGCAGTCCCACCATCCCACCTGGTGTGGTTAGAGAATTTGTGGCTACAAATGTAAGCAAGGGAAAACAGCTCTGAGCTCTGGGGGGCATGGGCAGCCACAACGGCTACCTTCTTGGTCGTCGCGTCGTCGCGTCCCCAATGCGCTTACCCACATGTTCCCGTCTAACGATGAGCGGTTGGTTATCCGGGGAACGCCCAGAGACGAGATATTCTTTGGTCAGCAGCGTACCTTCCTCCATCACAGTCTCCGTACATCGAGACTCCCAGGGTAAGAATCAAGCAACCCGTAGCCAGCTCTTTATCATCAGGAATAATAATAAAGAATAGCCTGGAAGTTTCACCACTGGCGCTTTTTAGCGCCATTATAAGTATTTACGTTCCCTACTTAACAATCAATTTCATCGGTTCTTTTTAGGATCCACCTAAGTGTAAACTACCTTGCCAACAAATACATTTTTATCACCATTTCCGGAAGCGATTCGTCGACTAAAAGACTATATTAACTAAAGACGGGCACTATTAAACCAAGTCAGCCATTCACTAGCAGACGTCACCTGCGGAGTTGTTCTTCGCAAGGCTGGAAAACCCGGTGACCGACGACCCTTTACTACCCTCTCGACTCTAAGCATTCAACCAGGAATCACTGATCCTCTCCAATGTCTGCGTTGAGCAAACCTATAACAGCTATGTAGGAAAAAAAACTTGAGCCAACGGGACAGCCTCCACTGGACAAGTATCACTAACCAATCTCCCCATCTAAGATCACCAAAACAACTGAATCTGCAACTAAAAAAGGTGCTTTAGACACCAACGTCTTCGACGTTATACCGGGAGACGTTGGGAAAGAGCACTACAACTAGCCCCAAAGCTTCGGACTTTGTAATTTTTCTCCCAATCAGTCTGGGTCTTCAACAGCAAGCCAGAGAAGATCACCCTGAGGTATCCAGGCAGTCACAATTGCTGTTAACTGCAGTCAAGAAAGAGTTAACTTAAGAAGCTCACCGGTCTTTTTTAGGGCCATCGGACGTCGAACTACCTTGCCAACAAATATATTAGAACTTAACAAAGTTGACAGAAAACAGCCTTTAGGGGTCACACAAATTTTAAGCATGCCAAAAGTCGCAAGAGGGTGAATTGGAAGAAAAACTTCAAGTGTATCTAATAAATACAATTTTACTTAGGCGTCAAGAAACTGACGCAGAAAATTTATCGAAATTGGAACAGCAGCGTCAAAATCGACAACTAAAGAGTCCATTACGTGAGAGATCAGCTTTTCATTGTACCCTCACAGCAATCTCTGAAATCTTTAAAGATCCTACTTCAGATTTTTAAATAAGTAGAAAATGTATTTGTGTTTTTGTGGCAATAAAAATGTAGGGTTCAAGGTCCAGGACTTTGTTGCTCTGGTAATAAAGTTGTGAGATATGAGAAAAAAAATTTTTTTTAACATAAATTTTTTGGGGGTTTAAAATCTTAACAGCTTTAAAAAATAGCCGTTTTCGTGAATTACACGGGAGAAACTGTAAATCAACGGCTTCTTATGGCCACCGATTATTTTATGGCATAAAGAACGCACGGTACTTTTCAGCATAATAATTTTTTTGAATTTTTACACCTCATTATTTAACCAAATAAACTATATGGATTCCGAAAAAATATGTTTTTAATAAGAAGATTTTTGTTCTGAGATGTATCAGGAATATGTGTAAAATTTCTAACTGAAAATGTTTCACATTACATGTCAACACACTACGGTGTTTTATTTAGTAAGTCTCGGGCGAAGCCGAGACGGGGGGCTGCTAGTGTATATATATTTACATACTTTTTAATCAATTCTTAATTATTTTTTACACAGGCTTGTAATTTTTTTCACTTGAAGTTCACATGTCCCGCATGATGAGATAAACATTGTAAAGATACAAGAATGATTAAAATAATAAGTATTGTTGTCTTCAATAAAAATTTCATGCAATTTTTCTCTACTTGACGTATTCATCATGAACTCTTACTTGTACTATTAAGCACAATACTGACACATATAAAAATAAAATATACCTGAAAATCTTATATAAATACAGCGGATACATAATTAGAGGACTAGTAGATAGTTCGAAACAGCTAAAAATTTTTTCATAAATATATGTTGCTCGTACGAAACATGAATATTAAAAAATATTTGTCGAGCTACAACAAAATAAAACCTCATAAAAGCATGCATAGATGGAAAGGATTTTATCTTTTCTTTCACAATCAAAATGATTTAAAAAAGTATTAACACATTTATCAAGTATAGAAGTGAACTGATGTCACAAAGAAACTATACGAATTAATACATTTTAATGTATTTCATCGATATTTTTACGCTTTGTACAATAAAATCGACTACGAACTTGAATGATATTTAGCATTACTAGCTCGTGCCGTTATCATGTAACAACTTCTATTTTTTTTTTTTTTTTTTTTTTATTAATTTATTTCATCACTCGTGATTAAACTGACTTTTATCACTAAGCCGACACATGTCTTACGTTAAAGAAATGCGTCTTAAAAATTTTTTTCAGTATTAAGAAAATTTTTTTAAATAATATAATACGCTAACAACCAGACAACAACTGTTGCTCTTGATTTTCTATCAAAGACAATAAGTTGGCCTAAGCCTTAGTATGTTTTTACTATTGGCAATTATTGATTAATTACTAACTAAAAAACGACATTTAATAAATGTAGCAATCAAGCGACGAATTTAATACTGTTTTGATAGGAACACCCCCAATTTTTCCAATCAACTCATCTACATTCGAGAATTGAAAAGCTGAAAACAAACAGTACTATTAAAAATATGTGTAGAGCTACAATAAAATTGAGTAAGAGAAAGAAACTATTTGTTAAGTTCCTATGTATGCGTGTCGTTTTAAACTAGAACCTTATATTGTAGATTTCTCAACTTAATGGACAACGCTAATTAAGCTTGCCCCTCTTTTATGCCGTTACGTATCATCGCAGTTTGAAGTTGGGATCCCCTTTCTGGCTTAGTTCCCACTCACCTGCTGGTATGTCATAACTCACAAGCAAATGCCTATACTTAAGGTCGATCAATTTCTCATCTCTGGAAATTAGTCAAAAATTTTTTAACCGATACTTTACTTGATCATAGTTTTAATGTTTAGTATCCTCAGGTGAGGTTTGAAGCCTGAAGATATCCTACTGGGTGACCATGTTGCCACACGGTGCCATGTTTTTGTTCTTCTTTCTGAGCGTATTTATAGGTAAGTTTTACTATTATAACCGTAAACTTGTATATTAATAACCAGCTCCACAATTGTCTGGTAAATGATGGCAATTTTTCTTTAGGTCCCGTCATATTTATATTTAAAGTCGAATTTTTTTCCATTTGTGAACTGTCTTTAGACCTCTCAAATATGAGTGGATTATTTTTGCAGCTTGTGTCTTGAATCTACATCATTAAAGCCTCTTAAACTTGAACACCAATCGTACACGTTGAATTTTGGGAATTTTTGTCGAATCCAATAACTCGGAAACATCAAGCTGCTTCAATAAAATTAATGAGTAGTTTCTTGAGATTAATAAAATCAATCATATTATTCGTGGGCAAAGATCATTAGAGTTATTTTGTAAAGTATGGATTTTTACGGCACCACTATTGTGATATAATGATGATATAGGGTATTAGTCGTAAGACATCCTAATCTTACACAAACTTATGATTACCAATTCACTTCTGAAAACTTGTTACGTGGAAAATAAAACGATTTAAAACAATAATTAAAAGTTTTCTAAAACACTAATTTTCATCCGAACGTTGCAAATTATTTTAGGATTCCAAAACGTCGCGTGACCACACCGAAAAAGCTGTACGGTGTGGTCAAGTGAGGTGTCGGGATGGAAATAGACACCTCAACATTGCTCATAAAATATATATTTTGTAACGTAATATAGCTTGCCATGCAGTAGGACCACGCTTCAACCCAACATACCCGTGGATAGAGCTAACAAAAGGAGAAAAACTGAAACTTACATGCTATCACAGCGAGGGTAGAAATGTTAAACTCTATTACCCAAACTACGATCGAAAAAAAATTAAAGAATTAAATAATACTAGTGGCGTTTATGACGTAAGTTTAACGACTTCACTGATTTAAACATATCAAAATGACGTAAACAAATTATAAGAAAAACTTAAATCAATTTTTTTAACGATGAGAAGATACTGCCATCTGAGTTTGAAATCCATAATAATTCAAACTCCAACCTGACATTTATAAGACATTCAACGGTTGTTGGCGATACTGGTTGGTATGGTAGCCTTTATGAAAATGAGACAATATTGAGTAAAGACTGGGACGATTTGGAATCCACTTGGCAATACGTTTACGTTACGTGTAAGAAAATGCTAGTGCTTACCTCCTTTCTATTCATAAAAAAATCAGACTCAATTGTATCACATAAAAAAAGTTTACATGTAGCAATTACATAACTATTTTTTGACGCAGCATCCGAATGGGCTTTTACACCGTTTGATGGTTCTCTCGATTACATTACTAATGGTTATCTAAAATCTCACGGTCGGGTCGGAAAAAGTATTACTCTACCATGTCGCCCAACTTTTCCTACAGCGCAAGTGATACTTAAAAAAAATGGCAAAGTAATGTATACTTGTTTGAATAACTTCCACAAAATTAAAAACTTGCACTAAATTTTTATTGCATTAGGAGATACAAAAGTACCACTCGAGGATGCCTTTCGATAGCAAATTTGGTTTCACCTTAAAAAATTCAAGATACACAGATGACGCCAATTACACTTGTGAAGTTAATCAAAATGGTTTGTCACAAAAAATAGATGTCAAAGTTTTTATTGAAAATGAGGATTGGCTTAAAATACCAAGTATCGAAATGGACGATCTAGGGTACGCTGCTGTTGGCTCGACCTTGAATATCAAATGCAGATTTGGAATGAGAGAAAAAGACGATTACGAAATCTCCTGGGAGACTCCACTTAATCTGGTGAGAGCTCATTTACCCTCATGACTTAGAATTCGCACCTACAATTATATTCTCATTATTTAATAAATTATTTACCAAATGTGCGCAATGATAAGAATTCAAGGAATGTAACGAATCGTATTGAAGAGAATAGAGGCTCCATCAAGTTAGTCACGTCTGAGCTCATTGTGAATAGTGTTACTTATGATGACGAGGGAAATTATACTTGTAACGTAAAGGGAACCTTAACTGTGATGAGTACCAATGTTTATATTAAAATATACAATAGTAAGTTAAGATACGCATATGCTTCCTTTATTTTTTGTTAACTTAACGTAGAATCGAAGTACATTTTTCACCTGATACGTTTTTTGTAGAACCATACATCAATTTAACGACTGATGAGAACCTCATCGAAAGGGATGAATTTGATGGATCTCCTCCAGTCATTTTTACAGCTCACATCGATGCACACCCGCCGCCAACGCTTAAATGGTAATTAAACTTGTTGATACATTTAATTAGTCATAATATTGATTGCATAACTTTCAAGGTACCATCCCTTTGGTAACGAAATAACAATGACACCGATAACATGGGATGATCTCTATTATGTTTCAAACAACGCAACGACAAGCAGTTTAACTATCCCGAAGATTGTCCTTCACAATGCGGGCAATTACACTCTTGAAGCAAGTAATAGTGCTGTAGTACGTCGCTTAACTTTTGAGTTAATACAGTACAGTAAGTATTATTTAATACACGACATCTTTTGCTGGATGCAACTAGTATTTTCGAAACGTTGCCTTTTTGTTCCTTATTTATTTATTTACTCTTGTAGGTGAAGTGTATATTTCAGGAACTTTAGATTTACACGATTATTACAACATTGGAGAAGATATACGTTTTTTTCTCACCGTCTATGGAAATCCTAAGCCTACAACATCATGGACGTACACAAGTTGTCCAACGAATAAACTCGATTATGGCTGCAAAACATCTCCTGTAAAGGTTAGCTATGCTCTATGTAGGACTTAATAATCGTAATTCATTTAATTATATGTATATTAGCCTATACAAACGAGCATGAAATGTTGGTAATTTAAAAAAAGTCAACCACAGCTTTATTACCCTAATAGTTTAGAATAGAAATTTATCTTCCGATATTACACAGTAACATATATTTTGCTATATTTCGCCAGTAGCAGCACCGTCGTCGATTTTTGTTTTACATCAGGTTCCTATAACACATGAAAGTACCACCAAATAAGCAAAAGCAAACAAAGTACAAAGTACGTTAAATTTAGTAAACTATTATGACAACTAAAAGAACTCGAATATATTAATGTCTCTTATTCGTCTACAACTTTTATACACAAATTTTCTTACCAAGCAAAAACCATTTCAAATGCTTGTGAAAAACGTACTTTACAAACATATTTTCTTTTCTTCTTCTTTACCTCGAAAAACTTCTTTTTTTTAATTTATGTCAGTTGATTTTCTACATTACATTGTTTATTGGAACAGTAAAACTCTGGTTGTTACTTTTTTTCTGAAGTCTTGTTTGCTTAGGCTACATCAATAAATTTTCGTGGTAGATATTATTTAAGGGCAATAAAAAAGTCATGACCTTATTGATTATCTTACTAATTAAGGGTACAGAAGTAGGTACACCTCATCCACAAATTATTTCCGAAACAGTACTAATCAAAGATCTGCAAACCTTTGGTATAATAAAATTCGAGGCTTGCATTAAGGACAAATGCAGCTCAAAGGAAAAGGAAATTTTAGTTACTGGTATGTATACCTTGATTGTAGTTTAGTCTTCAATTTTTCATCTAATGCTAATTTTTATATTATGAAACTTGCTTCATTTGAAAAAGATGGAGCACCAAATAAGAGAGTTGGGATTATAAAAGAAAAGCCCAATGGAAAAGTATACACGGGCGATGACATCAAGTTAGTCTGCACTGCTGTGAATTACATGTATAAATCGGTGGAATGGACAAATGCGATTGAAATTCCTGGTATATTACCAAACTCTCAATGAAAATATTCTACGACTTGGATCGCTAAACACAAACCTAAACATATTTTGACTATTTTCAGGAATGATTCACATTGCGTACGAAAGTACAAATTTTACTCATCGCACTATTCTATCAATAAATAATATTCAGAAATCGTACGAACGAGAGTGGAAATGCACAGCAAAAAAGATAGATGTTGGTAACAGTTATGCAGACTACCTACTTTTACTAGAAGGTAACGTTCAAATAGATTCACATAAAATATACGAAAAATTAAAATTTTTAGTTTAAGTTTTTATCCCGCAAATAAGACTCCAGTGAAGCTAGAGACAAGTTAAAATTAATCCCGTAAACTTGTAGAACGGAATTAATCTGATTATACGAGTCTCCAGTAGATACAATGGGTTGCATTTGGTTAATGAACTTTTTACTGTATGTTTTAACTGAATAAAATACCAAAACAATTTGTCTTCGACATGATAAATTTTTACGGTACTAAAATTAAAGGAAAGAGTGAAAAAAAGAATATCAGAAACATAGACAATAGGACCTCAGTGTTTTTATCGTATTATTTAATATGTAATAAAAGACTAAAGGAACAACGTTCCTTTGTGTTGAAAATGTATATTTGATTGACAAAAAGAATTTTATCGAATGATAAGCAAGTAGAGTTACAAGTAATCGAATATACGTATATGATTTGTAGACAGTATTGTTCATACGAAATTTTTTATTAGTGTGAGAATTAACCATGTAATTCAATAATAAGGACATAAATCAAATTACGGATACGTCTATTTTGAATACAGATAATTTTTCACCTAGACCCGTAAATAGGGAGAATTTATTCAGCATTAATTAATAATTGTGAAACAAACTTTTTATTTAGAAGAAATCTCATTTTTCATGCTTAGAACTAAAATTGTAAAGTACTAAACTTTTCACAGTATTTTAGATTGTAATAATTATTTTAATCTATTAGAGTTATCTGATCATATTGGTTAATACTATTTTAGATCCAGTAGTGCCTTACTTCACTCAAGTAAACATGAATAATGCCGAAGTAATCTTGTCAGCAGAAGAAGCCCAAAATACTATTTATTTATTCTGCTATGCCAAAGGGAGTCCAAAACCTAATATCACTTGGTACAAAAATGACGCACCTTTAGAGTTGTCATCACAG